TTTTATTTTCAAAAAAATACATAATTTATAGACATTAGAAAAAAGTTTTCATTCTTTATGGACGAGTAAACTAATAAGAATGTTAATACGGGAGGATGATCTTTACAGTTTTTCTTCAAGTTTCTCCAGCTCCCCACGAATACCACCTGTTTGACTTTGACTTTGTCCTCCGCTTTGACCACCAAATTGGCCTTGTCCTCCGCCTTGACCTCCAAATTCACCTTGTCCGCCACGTTCACCACCAAATTCACCTTGTCGTCCACGTTCACCGCCAAATTCGCCTTGTCCTCCGCCTTGACCACCGAATTCACCTTGTCCTCTGCCTTGACCTCCAAATTCACCTTGTCCTCCACGTTCACCGCCAAATTCGCCTTGTCCTCCGCCTTGACCTCCATGATGATGACCATGATGTCCTTCACGTTGACCGCCCTCACCACCACGACCACCCTCGAAGCCTCCTACAAAATATAAAATAAAACATCGATATATATCAGAGAGATATACATATTCTCTGATCATTCACATTCAGTTTTGTGTATTTAAGTGGTATAAACTGTATTTTAAAAAATGTTATGGTATCTATACAATTTATGTAGCTATAATAAATCTGTAGAATTTTGGAAAGCTTTAGATGAATAAAATATATATGAATAGTTTTATAAATTTACAACAAATACCAAAAACTTCTTCAGCAATTAGTAGAAAGAACTTACCATGAAGGATTAGAAAAACTAATACTAGTATTATATTTCAAATTCCTTCGACAATTTAAATAATAATCTCTTTAAATGATTTACCTTCATTAGACATATTTGTTAAAAATAATCGGCGTTTACTTTTTTTAGTTATAATAAATTATTCAACGATTTATGAGCCTTTATATACTCTATTCTTTTCAATAATATTTACAAGAAATGTTTGTACTTTTATTAAGAGATGGGCGGTGACCCCGTTTCTTACTCTTATAACAGAATACGGTAAAAAAATATGCTAATCACGCATTTGCATTTCTCTCTGCTATGATGATTTTATTTTGTTCGTTTCTAATGTATATGTATTCACTATTTTATTAGCCTAAAGCGTTGTGAGTAATTATACTTTCAATGCTGACAATAACTGCATCACAATTATGAATAACTTCTAACATATTCTCATCACGAAGATATATAAGATTTTATATATTTTTCGCTTATGTTTTGTATCTTAAAATAAGGATGTGACAGATAACACTGATGACAATTAACAAATTATTTTCTCATTCTATTCAGAATTACTTCTCGATCAAAAAAGAATCAATAAAAGAATATATTTTTGCATATTAAAATGTGCATTTGTTGAGCTTTTCATAGGAATTTGCTTTTAAAAAAAATACAAAACTAAGAACAGCATTATTCACAAATTTTGTTATTCAAACATGAATCGTTTGTTATTGAAAAATATGTATTTTAAAGTGTGACAACAATTGGTTGTCAATATGAATTGTGAAACAAATTTTGTTATTTTATTGTTTATAAAAAAGGCAAATAGTCGATTCTTTTTCGTGCTGTGACGTCCAATGAAAATGTAACTATTTCGATTAAATCGATGTTCATAGTTACCTTTCTGTGTGCCAAAAATAGTGATTTATCAATGTACAATGATATCAATGTAATATAGTAAAGATACACTAAAATATCCTATAGAACTGTTGCACTACTTTGATTAATTTTATTAATCAAATATAATAATAGCAATTATATTACAGCTTATAGTTTCGTTTAAATTTGTTCGAAGATAGCAACAATTCACAGTTTATTTAGCAAAACAATGCTACCATTGTCAAAAAGTAAAATAAATTAATTATATAAATCATAAACTAATAAGTATTTCTAATAACATTGTGAATCTAACTGAAAAGAATTGAAGTCATTTTTAGATTCGATAAATATGGATAAATAGCCGGCATCAAAGAAGAGGCATATCAGTACAAATCTTTCGATAATTCATCATGTATGCTTGTGTTGTTAGAATATCAAGTAGATTGCTTTAGTCGTTTGGTTATAGACGAAAATCTTGAGTATCAACGGATATTACCCGGTATTACTTAACTTCGACTTTTTTGCTTCATGAGATTAAAGATGAATACTTTTCTAAGATGAAAACTATTGTTTAAATTCACTAGATATATAACCTATTAAACAATTGTTTCATTACTGACATTAACTTACACAAAAATATTCGATCTTCTATAGAAGTATTCTTTTTAACTAGCTTTTTTTTTGAATTTTATTCATTTTACTTTTATTTAAATTATTAGAACGAGACAAACTTCATGATTATAATACCTTTTAGCAATATATTTTTTCATAAGTCTAGCATCGCTTGCTTAAAGTACAACTTTATGTATAAGTAAATATCTTGAATTGCCTACGTTTACCAGCATACTCTATTCAAGGCTGAGTTATATATAATATATTGTTTATTTATTTTTGAATTAAATTGTAACTATATTTTTTTCTTCCGTTTGAAGCACAGATGCATTCTTTGCTTGTTCTTTATGTGAAGAATTAAGAAAGAATCGCTTCTTGTATGTTAATTGTAAATTTAGTTAACATTGATTTGATTTTATCAGAAAAATGCTGATCATGTAAAGGTAGAGAAGAATAGATCAAGAAGAAGGCAAATAAGAACACAGAGGAAGCTTATATCAGCAGCTGCTGCTAAAAGAACTTTCAGTGAATCATGTAGAATTGAAAATTGTTATCCGTCTACAATAAAACAAAACAGGCTAAAAGGACTCGATACTGCTTACATTCATAGAGATCTCAATATAAATTCAGGTGATATCTTCAAACTATATGCACAAATAAATTCTCATTCTGATTTTCGAGTTTTGAATCTGAAACATAGATGTTATGAATAGAGACATTAAAATAGACTAAAAATACACCTAATTCGGACTGAAGATCTGATTCTAATGCATGTTAAATTAAAAGAACCTCATTTCATTTTTTTGTGTTTTTTCTATGTTATCGGTATTTTGCTGCGCCAAAAAGCTTTATCCTATGAATAATAATCTTGCCCATTGTTGTTTTCCGACACAAGCAAAGTTTGCCCATTAGTCTCAAAATGCTGGCTACACCACTGCACATGTTATACGACGTGAAACGATACTAACACGAGTAAAAACATGATGGAATGGAAATGCTTTCGAACGAGTAAAACTATGAAAAAGATTATCTGATATAAACATGAATTCTCCCTATGAGGAAATATCAACATCATCTAACAAACGAAATGCGTTAATTTCATTATGCATTTGTGGAAGATATGTATAACGAAAAAATATAAAAATTATGTCAGGATACATATCGACAATCAATATAATAAATCTGAAAAACGATGATGAGTAGATGATTACATCGAGAATTTGAATCGTGAAAAGCATGAGAAGGATAAATGGTATCAAACCATTTAAATATATATTTAGTAATCATTCATTGGCTAGTAATTTCAGATGCATTATGTTAAGCATTATCTTAATAATGGAAACAATAAATTCTTTTTTTCACAATATCTTAATTCAGTTTTCATATCTTTCTATGCCATATTATATTTATAATAGTACAGGTGTATTTCTTGCATTTTGATTTGAAAATGTTTCTGTAACTTATCCATCGATTTGTTTTCTAGTATAAAATACGATTATTTTTAGATTATATCAATAATATACATCCTGCTTAATGCCTCGTGAGAATTAAGAAGCATCGGCTAAACACATAGAAGGTAGGAAGTTTGATGACAGGATTAAACGAAGATTATACATGATCTTACTGACAATCCAATATTATAAGACTCATACCAATAAATAACGAAAATCTGTAAAAAAGACTGTTTTATTTTCAAAAAAATACATAATTTATAGACATTAGAAAAAATTTTTCATTCTTTATGGACGAGTAAACTAATAAGAATGTTAATACGGGAAGATGATCTTTACAGTATTTTCAGTACTGGCCTCCTTGACCTCCTTGGCCTCCACGTTCACCTTCTCCGCCACGTTCACCACGAAATTCACCTTGTCCGCCACGTTCACCACCAAATTCACCTTGTCCTCCACGTTCGCCTTGTCCTCCACGTTCACCTTGTCCTCCACGTTCACCGCCAAATTCGCCTTGTCCTCCACGTTCACCACCAAATTGGCCTTGTCCTC